TTCGAACTCGTTTGGAAAAATAAATTACATGATCCCAACAAACTTATTTTGGTTGTTTCCAAAATTTCTATACAATTTTAAGAAGGTTCCCAATAAAGGAGAAGTAAGAAATATAATTAGTTGCAAAATGCTTTGATTTATTAAGAAATTTGGAAACAAAAAATAAGAAACAAGAATCTTACCAAACGAGCCCGTCATTTTTAGTTTCCCTTGGCTCTCATTCCTCTGCAATTATTATTTTCGTTTTCTTCTCTCTTCCTCTCTTATAAAAAAAATTATGATTTTCTTCTCTCTCCCTTCCTCTCTCTCTCATTTTCCAATTATTCTTCCTCGCAAAATCCATCGTTTGTAGGTCATGAGCAACAGTTTGAAGTAGCAGTTGGTTTATCCAATTGTGTCTTTGTTGGGAATGACAAATATTAAAACTTGTTTTTGTCCCACATCGGAAGCATAACATTTGGGAGGTGGGTTTATAAGCATCGACTGTATATTGGACTTATAAATTTGGTGTGAGGTAAGTCAAGACCAAGGCCCACACATGTGCCGCTGACTTTTGCTTAGCCATAAAATGACCCAGTCTCGAGGCAGAGTCAGATGCTTGGATAGGGATGAGTCGGGACACGTTAGGAGCCATCGCAGTGAAATGCAGAACTTGTTGGAAATGCATTAATTTTAGAAAATAAAAATACTAAAAATAAAAAAATGGAGCAAATAAAAACACAGAGAATTTAAATGTTATAAATCAAAATGATAAAAGTAAAAATACATAAAATTTCTATGCAGAAAATAAAAATAAAGAAACTTGAAATGCTAGAAATTAAAATGCAAATAATTTAAATGCATAAAATAAAATGCAGAAAATTTAGATGTAGAAGATAAAAAATGCAGTAAATCTAAATGCAGAAAATTCAAATGCAAAAAACTAAAATTTTAGAAGATAAATTGCAGAAAATAAAAGTAAATTCGAATACAAAAATTGAAATGCAAAAAACTAAAGTAAAGATTAAAATGAAAAAATAAATATGCAGAAAATTTAAAAAATATCAAATGCAAAAATGGTAATATAGAGTGCAGAAAATTAAATTTATAATGCAAAAATAAATACACAGCAAAGTAAAATAATAAAAATTAAAATGCAGAAAAAAAGATAATTTAAATGCTGAAACTTTAAATTAAAAAAAATTCAAATACAGAAAATTGAAAGGCAGAAAAGTAAATCTAGAAAATTAAAATGCAGAAAATTAAAATAAATTGAAATGTAGAAAACTAAAATGCAGAAAATTAAAATAAATTGAAATGTAGAAAACTAAAATGCAGAAAATAATATGCATAAAATTTAAATTTAGAAAATTAAAATGTAAGAAAATAAAAACAAAAATAGATAATTTAAATATAAAAATATTAATGAAAAAAAATCAAATGCATAAAATTTTTGTCAAATAATTTTGCAAATGCAAAATTTTGTTGGTATTCCATTTTGGTTGTGTTTAAAAAAAATCATTCCAACAACTTTTTCAAATTTCTTTTGAAAACAAAAAATCTTCTTAAATTCTTGATAAAAAAAGAAAAAGAAAAGTATAATAAAATGTGGAAAACATGATGAAAACACATAATACATTGATCAAGACATTGATCTTTCAATTAGAAGGTCCATTTTCTTGACTTATTCATAAAGTAAAATATTAAAAAATTGAATAGAAAACACAATCGAAAAAACTTGAGAAGATAGAAACATAAGGAAAATGATGAAAATAGAAAGAAAATTAATGTGAAATAAATGCCTAATATCAGAGAATGATGCAGAGAAAATTGAAGAAAGACTACGAGTAGATTATGAGAGCTTGAAAATTGAGTGACAAAGAAGAATGAGTCGACTGGTAGAAAAGAAAAATATTGTTATATTAATATAATAGGGTTGGGGGTAAATTTGGTCATTTGATGATTCCTGATAGGAGGGAATCTAAAAAATTCATCTTTTAAAGAGTAATCAAAATGACTACAAATGAGGGACTCGATGCCTGCATTTTTAGATGTCTTGTCATTTTAGGATTACCACAATCCATACAAGGTAATCCAAATGCCCATGGAATGGGCACCATAAATTACCACCAAACAAACGACAACTTATGTTAAAATTAAGATGAAAATAGATGGTCGCAGTTGATAGTACACTATATGAGCTACATTTCATGAGACTTATTTTAGAATTATTTGTTAATTTCGTTTATTTATTATAGATTTACTAATAGCGCACTATGTGAGCTACATTTCATGAGATTTTGTTGCGCCTCTGCTTAATAGCAAGAGGGACGAGTGCAAGTGCACACTGTCACAAGTAATAATCTGGAAATATTCCAAGTTCGTCTCCACAGGGACTAGTTTTCTTTTAAAATTGATTTTGCAAATTGTTGGAATGAGCAATCGAGTTTGGGAATAAAAATAATTGATTGGTTGAAATGCACGTTTTATAATTTAATAAAATAGAATTTTGAAACCAACCCTCATACTACTGACTAATTTGAAGAGAAATGAATTACACCTATCAGAATCTCACACTAAATTTACTCTCTAATTGCAAACTGATTCAACTCCTATTCCATACCGCTTTTGGTTTGTTTAGAAGATTAGGCCAGTATTTAAAACATGTCTGTAAAATACTAGAAGAATCCTAACTAATTAAAACTCCAACTTACGTTTAATGGGTAAGAGAGCCTATGTCTAGGATCTTGTTTAAGTTCTTATGTCTAAGTAACTTCCCATTTTATCTTGATGAACTCCGTTGACTCTAACCTTTTCAGAATTAAACTCAAATGTTGTGATTTAAACAGGTGGCCAGCAAGTAAAATCAACTAGATTAATTAACTCAATCAAGATAAGCAATTTGAGCGTAAACGTCGTGCTATCTGATAGATGTAATTAAAATGATGGAAACTAAGTCATTCGTAGGAGGGTTGGAAAAATTAATTTAGCTACCCATGGAATTAAAATAAATGCAATAGCAAAAGAAGATAACAAAAGAATTCATTTTCATTGAATCGGGAAAGAAGAACATAAATTAGAATAACTAGAGTTGCAATAAAATAAGCAAGGAAAAATTGTAAAAACAATAAAGGAAGAACAAAACTTAAAGCTGAAATTAAAACTTAAAAGCTAAAGTTGACAAGAATTTTGAAAGGGAAAGCAAAAACATGGAAATGAGGTGTGTAGAAGTGATGCAGGCTCCTTTTATAGGCCATGGAAGTAACAAGGATTTGAGAAATTCAACGAAAGTTGACAACCACTTGTTGTAGAGATATTAGGAGTAAAACCAAATCTTTGACCAATTACTTGGTCAGAAGTGGTTACTTTCGTTTTGACAATCTAGGCATCGAATGTGGTTGAAGCATTGTGAAGCTGGAAAAATTTTGGCCTTGCAATGTGTCTGACGCATTGTGATCATAAATCTTCATTTTTCCTTACAAAATAAACATATTTAAACAAATTAGCCTTCATTTACCTATAACTGAATTCCAAAGTCCCTAATCACAAATTATGCACATTTTTCCTAAATTATATGCATGAACATACATTTTCATCCCAAATATAAGTTACTTAAGCATGCAAACCTACCTTTTTTTAGCCTTAAATCAAGTCTTATCAGATTTATATTGTGATTATTTGTTAATTCTCATTTCTTTATGATAGATTTACACACATAAGATATATTTTACAGGAATGAATAATCTATAGGAAATGGGACATAATTGGATCAAATTGAAAAGGAAATCATAGTTCGAGTGAGTAAAAAAGACATTACAACACTTATTGGAGCCCAAATATTCGAGAGAACAGCACTAGGCCACCCGAAGACACGCCACAAAATCGACAGCCAAAGAAAATAGATAGGGGAAATTTGGCCCAAGAGGCCAGCACCTAGTCCCGGTGCCTAGGTGCCGACCGTAGCATCGCGACGCTACCAAACTTTTTTCCGCCCGATTTTTTTCTTGTAGTGCCATGGCGCTCATTTATGACACCATAGTGATATCGCGAATGTTTCCCTTTTAAAATTAGGTTTTTTAACCGTCATTTGGGAAGCTTTTACACACTTTTGGGAGAGAGACATGAGATAACTCGAAAAATAGAAAGAAAATGAGCATCAAGGAGCTTAGATAAGGGAATTTCAAGGCTCGGAATTGTGGAGATTGGCTTGGGGCACTAGTAGAAATTCAGTCTTCAATTACAGTTAAAAATTGTCATTAACATAATTCGTGACAGTTATCTAATTGTCATCTATTAAGGTATCAAGAAATAGGACATGACAATTTTGAAAAATTGTCATTAATGTATTTACAACTGTTATAATTTGTCACAAATAGATCTTCCATCACAATTAAAAAATGTCACACAAACTCATTTGATGACAATTTATAACTATCACTGAAATAATCAAATATTTTATTCTTCTGTTAATAAAAACTTAATGACGACAGTTTATAAATGTCACGAAATATTTTTTAACGACAGTTTATGATTGTCTTGAAATGTTTTTTAACGACTGTTTATAAATGTCAAGAAAAATAGAACAATTACTATTTTTAATAGTCATGAAAATATTTATAGTGATAGTTTTAACGATCAATATTAACAATTTTAACTGTCATGAAAATCTTTATATTGACAATATTTAATTGTCATGAATACTTTTATATTGATAATTTTAACTATCATGAAAATCTTATATATGACAATTATTTAATTGCGACAAATTTTTTTTTATCACAATTTGTGTTCAATAAAGGTTTTTAATGTAAAAAAAAGTTTATATATGACAATTTCATGATTCACATTTCAAAAAAATTCTCTACATCTGTAAATTATAAAATGTAACAAAGTTGCATAGGATCAAAGTTTTCATATACATATATAAAATAAATATGATCAAATTTGTATATTATGATATTTTATACATATAGTATACTATAACTACAATAAGAAAATGAAACATATGTTTCAGACTAACCTAATGATTTATATTCACATTACATCAACCTCGTACATGTCGAAACTATGCTAAAACTCTTCCCTATACATTCTCCATTCTCAATTGCTCCCAAAAGCTACTCTTTCAACAAAATAAAATGAACAATTAAGAAATATTAATATTAACTCTCATTTGTTTTCTAACTCCAACATGCATTATATTAGTGAAATACGTAGTCACACAACTTTGCTAAAAATCATTACGATAAATCAATGATATAGATAAAAAGAACGACAACTATATAAATATACGAATATGAAATGCTCGTTACAACAAACATTAATCCTGGACAAATATAAAAAATCAACCCACATGATATAAATTTGGAAGGTCGTAAATCAAACAAACCAAAAATAAAAACACTGAAAATCAACGAGCATTGGAAAGGGACCTTTAACTATCCCACCATTGTCAAGCATGGGAAAGAGTCATGAATGATATAGGTATCTTTCAATAGAAACATCCTTTAACTATCTTCCATTAATGCTTCAAGAGAGATCTACCATTATGTTAAGCAAAAAATATGTAGTTTGTTGCGTAGTTTGCCAAGTAAACCAACAATAACTTGAGAACAAATAAACCAAGTGTAAATTCTCTTAAAAGCCAAGTGTAAATTTAGATATACCAAATAAGTCAACGATAACTTGAGAACAAATTTTTTGATATCATAGACAAATTTTTGGTCCAATCCATAAAGGATCTAAATCCATTTTAGATCATCCACTATGTAATCAGTTTTAACAATTTCAAAATATAAACAGATGATAAGCAAACCTTATTTCTATAATTAACACACTCTCATAGCCTTTATTTAGTGCCTCAACAGAGAGTTACCAATCACAATAAGCACCTAAGATCTTTTTCTTTCCCTCAAATCACTCACACAAAACCCTTATTTCACAAAAACAAAGAAGCAAAAAGACAATACCAAACGGCTTTTTAGATTCTCCAAATACTAAAGACTTTACCAAAATAAAACTGATTTATGAACAACACAGATGTTGAACAATAACAAGCAAAAACAATCTACTTATCCAAATCTTAATTGGCTACCTTTGCTGCAGGATAGTCACACAATTATCCTACTAGACTTTAAACTATATGTATGACACAAATATAAAAACTAAGTCTTAATTGACTATCTTTGCTGCAGGATAACCACACAATTGTCCAACTAGACTTTAAACTATATGCATGACACAAATATAAACACTAAATCTTAATTGACTATCTTTGCTGCAGGATAGCCACACAATTATCTAACTAAACTTTAAACAACACAATTATCCAACTAGACTTTATACTATATGTATGACATATAAAAACTAAGTATTAATTGGTTGTCTTTGCTGCAAGATTGCCACACAATCATCCAACTAGATTTTAAACTATATGCATTACACAAATATAAATACTAAGTCTTAATTGACTATCTTTACTGCAAGATAGCCACACAATTATCGAACTAAATTTTAAACCACACAATTATCCAACTATACTTTATACTATATGTATGACACATAAAAACTAAGTCTTAATTGGCTATCTTTGCTGTAGGATAGCCACACAATTATCTACCTAGATTTTAAACTATATGCATGACACAAATATAAACACCAAGTCTTAATTGTCTATCTTTGTTGCAGGATAGCCACACAATTATCCAACTAAACTTTAAACCACACAATTATCCAACTAGACTTTATACTATATGTATGACACATATAAAAACTAAGTCTTAATTGGCTATTTTTGCTGCAGGATAGCCACACAATTATCCAACTAGATTTTAAACTATATGCATGACACAAATATAAACACTAAGTCTTAATTTACTATCTTTGTTGCAGGATAGCCACACAATTATCCAACTAAACTTTAAACCACACAATTATCCAACTAGACTTTATACTATATACATGACAAATAAAAATGTTAAGACTTGAGAATTCATACTTCAACAATTTGTAAGCAAATCAAAATGTTCACCAAGTTTTCTTGTCTTCTTCAAACAAAAATTACACATGCAATCACAAAACCATTAGAAAAGAAGAATATGGATGAACAACTCAATAAAAATGCAGAGATTAAAGATGAGAAAAGGACACGAGAATTTTAAAGTAGTTCAGCATATATACCCTACATCCAGTGTCGCAATCATGATTGATGATTCTCATTATCAAAGGTTCATCAGAGAATACAAAATCAATCGAAGCAATTAGAAGGAAAAAAAAAGATAAATGTATTCGATTCTACAAGTAGTTATTTACAATTAAATGCTAACTAATTATGCTAACTAATTAACTAAATGCTAACTAATTTCTGTTCTGTTAAAGAGATCGGAAAATATAAATAAATGGATAAAATCCAAAAGAAATCACATCTTAGTATGATAAATAAATGGATAAAATCGAAAAGAAAATCGCAACTTAGTATAATAAATAAATGGTTAAAATCCAAATGAAAATCGCAACTTAGGAATAGAAACTCAAAAGCAAACTAAAAGGTTTAGAACCTTTCCTTACACTAAATAATGAGACTTGAACCAAAGAACTAATAATGCCTTATTGCAATCCTACAAAGTATATATAGATCAAAGATATTGAGATAATTTCAACTATACCTCTCAAAATGAAAGTTGAATCCTAAACTGCAAGCTCAACAATCACGAAAAATATAATTAAACCTAAAAAAATGTTCATAATGTTTCAACTGGCAATGTTATCAATTTAACACCAAATTTGTATGACAATCTTATACAAGTATCTGATAAAATCATTTATGGATGTGAACATCTTCTCTAATAATGAAAACGGGATAGAGATAAAAATTTTACTTCCATTGAGGAAATGAGAACTGACCTTCCCAATATATAGGGAACAAACGTAACAAATGTGAGTCCATATAGATAATTTCCCTGAGAAAACGGAAGCAAAGGGGTTAATGTAGGAGGATGACTACTTTGAAATGATTTTATTCAATGGCTTTATCAAGACAACCTCCCTAACAACTACCGAGTACAAGAAGCTGCAACAACAAAAACTTTGTCTCGGTGAATAAATGATTTAGCTCATCCTACCTGTTCATATTTATGCATCCCTTTGTAAAACCAAATAACCCTGAGCTCATCTTTTGAAATGGATACAAGGAGATTTCAAGGTTTCCAACATTGTATAATGAGCCACCAATTCTTATCCTTAAATTGTGGAAGACTATTTAAGAAGTATGACAACATCCCAATGATATTAATTCCAGCAGAGATCTATCTATACCTAAACAAAAAAGAGAGTTAAGCTTTCCCATTATAAATGATGAAATGGATTTTAAACTTTTACCACGTTCGACTTTCCAGTATAACAAAAATGCACTTCAGCTCTAAAATTCTCCTGTATAACAAAAATCCAATAGAGAAAAACAAGTAAATGATGAACAGAGGAGATGAGTTCTGACAGATCAAAGAAAGAAAAGACACTGAACCCTAAAACTAAAACAGACTAGTGAGAGCAAATAAGAAGAAACAAACCGACTTGCAAGCTGTACCAGTAGCGATCATCGGAAAGGATGGAATCGAGACCGGTGAAGTCGACTAACTTTGGCGCAGAAATCTTCGCCTACATGAGAGAGGGTGAGAGGGAGAAGACTGGGGAGGGGTTCCGAATGCTTGGGAAAGGAGGGAAATTGGTTTTTGGGATTTTTGGGAGGGAAATATTTACTGTGACTTAATTTTCCGGGATTCTTTTTTACAGAGAAATATTATTATATACCTTATTCTCTCCCTTTTCATTCCTTAAAAATCCAATTTTTTATTACTTATAAATTTTTAAGCTTTAATGAATTCTCTTTTAATCTAATAAAAAATTGATTTTTAAATGTATAAATAAAATAGAAAAGAAAAAAAATTAAATTTTCAAAATTTTGTGCATTAATAATTAATTAAAGATCTCTTCCCAAAATCAACAAATTCAAAAACAAAATTATAACTAAATAACTTAATTCAAAGCTCTTAGCCATAAAAAAAAAATTGAATTCATCACAATAGGGAAGAATTTGAATACCTAAATTAAAAGAATACATCCCAACCATTACGTTGATGTTTGGCTGCTCCAGTTCTTCGATCCCCAAATTTTTAAAATATCCCTAAATACAACACATTTAATATTCGTATACAACAACTAATTTTTACGAGAAGTTTTGTCTCTAAGTTCTACCACTAATTTTAGAGAGGCAAACTGTGATAGTATATCTCCATTTTTCTTCCCACCAAAAAACAAACCTAAGAATAGTTGCGACGTGATCGTATAAGGTCTCCGTGCAGAGTTTAAAAAGGGGAAATAATAATTATAAATATCTACTCATTGCAACCATGGAATCCCACAAATAGCTAAAGTCATTATTAAAACTCGAATTTTATACTTAATTCTCCAAATTTTCTCATTTTAAGTCTTTCATTAAGTCTCTAACAAAAACCAAAAGGGAAAAAAAAATAAAATTCTCTAAAAATTTGAGTATTAATATTCAAATAAAGATATCTTTTTCAAAATCTATAAATTTGATTTATAAATAAAAAAACCAAAAGTAAAACTAAATAACTTCATTCAAGCTCTTAATCAAGAAATATCAAAATTGGAATGTAGAAAAGAATTTGAATATATAAATTAAAAGTTTAAGTAGCTTTAACTTGAAAACATGAGCCATTATAGATGGACGGACATAGAAGACTGATTAAAGTTCAATAAACCATTAAAAAAAAAACTCATGATAATAATGCAACACAATCAAAACTCAACAAATCCATAAATATCGAAATAAATAAGTTATTCATGAGGCATCTCCATTTTGTGTGTTTGGTAATTGAACAAAGTCCCAAAAAACAATATATACGAGCTGGGCTAACTTATGAAGAATTTTGATTTTTAAATGTACAGATAAAATTGAAAAAGAATCAAATTAAATTTTCAAAATTTTGAGCATTAACAATTAAATAAAGATTTGGCATAATTTAAAATTAACAAAATTTAAACTAAATAACTTAATTCAAATCTCTTAATCTAATTCACCAAATAAGAATTTTTATGATCAAAATGGTTGGAATTGGTATAATTTCATTGAGTTTCAAAAGAGTACATTGTCATATTTGAATTTTTAAGTAATAAATTTAGATTAAAATCGTAAATCAATAAATTTTTTATTTTATTTTCATTTCAGCCAAAACATCCAAACAACTCAGTGTAATTAAATTCATTTCAAATTATTCTTGTTCTATAGGAGATAATGAATTTTAAATCATTATCTGATTTTAGATCACGAGATTTAAAATAATTTCTTGCCAAACAGAGGGCAAGAGAAAATATTGAATTCTTGAAAAAAAAAAAAGTTAGTGACAATTTTTTTAAGCATAATTTGAAATGGTTAAACAAAGTTGTGATGGTTAAAAAAATGTAGTTAATTTCTAGAAAAAACGAGGGCATGACTATTTATCATGTTTTTTAATTACAATGAAATCCAAAAAAGAGTTTTAACTGTCATTGAATCAAAAACATTTTTTACATTTTCATGACAGTTTTTATCTTGTCACAAAATATACAAAATCTGAAAATTAGCATTTTTTTTCGTGCCAAAATTGCACTTCCACCATTTCATGACAATTTTTAACTGTCATTGAATAAAAAAAAAAGTTTAAGTTTTCGTGATAGTTTTTAACTGTCATAAAATTTAAAAAAATCCGAAAATTAGCGGTTTTTCTCGCCAAAAACGTGTCCCCATCGTGACAGTTTTTTTTTTTCCAAACATTTTGACTATTCATAACTGTCATAGAAGTCAAGTTTCTAGTAGTGRGGATGATCAACCGACACATGAACATTAGTTTTTGTCCTTTCTCTTGACTTTTCTTGTTTTGTAATGGAACTTTCTTTGAGATTTTATTGCTTTACATTGAATATGAGTAGCTAAGTTCCTTTGTCTTAGGGATTGATGTGCCATTAAACTTTATGAATTGATTGTTTAATTCTCTTGATTGAATGATTATGAATGTTCTATTTATATATCTCTATACCTAATGTCTTTAATCTACTAGCCATAGATTGATTGATTATTTTAGACTTGAAATCTTATTCTCGAGAGATGTGGTTGAAAGTTAGAACTAGGATGCATAATTAAAATGGTTTTTAAATTGGAAGATTTAGAAGTCCTTTAGAGATCGTTAAAATACTTATTCAATAAAGCATTTACTTGTTATGGAAACTAGATAGGGGATATTGGTTTCTTAATTGGTAGGAAGAATTAGCTTGCACATGGGAGAGGAAATTGAGATTTGAGAGTTCTTGGCCTATAAAATTAATAATTCGTTCAATATTAAGTACTTAAGTAAGGAAAATATTTGTCTCCTCAACAATGAGGAGAAACCATATCCTCCTCACCATTAAATGTTTGACAATTAAGAGAGAAAAATGCAAAAATATAAACTTTTTTTAAAAGTAATAAGTTGTCAAATATTTAGTGGTAAAGAGGACAAGGTTCCTCCTCATTGTTGAGGAGGCAAGTATTTTCCAAAAATAATTGGTTCATAGATTTAATAGGTGAAATCAATTCCCTAGTAACTTTCTCCCTGTTGATTTTATCTTTACTATTGTATGTTTAATTGTTATGATTATATTCTTCCATTTGATTTTGTTCTCTAAAAAAAATTGAGTGATTGTATCTGAAGTACTAGAGTGAGCTAGAAACCAAATCCAGAGGACAATATCGATATTGACTTACTACTTCTATTAAAAACTTGCTCGTACACTTGTAGAAAGCAAAATTCCACATAAGATATATTTTGCAGGAATGAATAATCAAGAGAAAACAAAACATAAATGGATCAAATTTGAGAGGAAAATCATAGCCCGAGCAAGTAAAGAAGAAATTATGACACTTATAGGAGTACAAGTACTCGAGGGAATAACATCGGGGCGCTTGCAGCAGAATAAACAAAAAAGAATATTTTTGCCTGAGGGGACACGCCTAAGCGCTGTCACCCAACGCCACGGCACTTTGAAGTTTTCTTTCTGCCCTTTTTTTTAGGCAATTACCAATATGGCAAAAAAATTTAAGGAAATAACAAATTTAGCATCTACATTTTAGATTTTCAAATATAGCAAAATTTTTAGAAAAAACGGACTTCCAATAATAAAATGCCAAATTTATCCTTGTACACTGATATATACTTGATATACCTCTGATTTACTATTGATATACAACCGATATATTACTGATATAACTATAATAAAAGTTCTTATATGATTATATTATTTACTATTTATTGATTTACCACGGATGTACGTGTGATATATAATTAATATGTCTTTCATATACCACTGATATAATATTGATATACAATTGATTTACTTCTGATATAACCATGATATCTAACCCATGTAACTTCTAATATGGTTTACCACTGATATACATATGATATAACTTTGATTTCTACTAATATAAGTTCTTATATGATTATATAATTTACCATTGATTTACCATACTAATATAACACTTGTATATGTGTGATATATACTTAATATGTCTTTAATTTACCACTGATATAACTATGATATCTGCTAATATAACTTCTTATATGATTATATAATTTATCACAATATAACATTGATACATCTGTGAGATATATATATATATATATATATATATATATATTTAATATGCCTCTAATTTACCATTGATGTAACCATGATATCTAGGGATATAACTATGCTATCTATGTGTTGATATAAATATAATATATCCATTAATTTTTTCCAAATGAAAACAATGGTGTAAACAAAAAAGATCAAATCTAAAATTATTGCATAAAAGATTGATATGGACCATGGATGTCAAAAAAAAAAAAAGAAGTTAAAAGTCTGATATACTTTATAAACTTAATTGACTGATATTTCTTATATTTAGTATCTAATTAATATTAATATAGATTAGATAGTGGATATAGCAATCAAAATTATTGATAATATTAGTATATTAATCAACAAATTGCAGTGATAAACTACAATTTAAACAACTGATATACCACTAAAAATTAAACATTTGATATACATTATATTTAGTATAGCAATTACAAATATATTTAGTATACCATTAATATACATCAAATGTACATTAGAGATACATCGGATGTATATCAGATAAGATATACATAGGTATATTAGTTACAAATATATTTAGTATATCATAGATTAGAGGTACATTAGATGTATATTAGATGTATAATACGTACATCTAATGTATATCATAAGTACATCAGATGTACATCAGATATAGATCGGAAATATATCAGAGATATATTGGAAGTATATTAGAGATATATCGGACGTATATCAGATATACATCCATCGACGCATATCAGATATACATCCATTGGGTGTACATAAAATATAGATCCATCGGGCCTACATCAAATATCATAAGGGTAAAAGTGGAATAATAAAAATTCTGAAAATAAAAATTCAAATATTTTGCCATCTTTGCAAAATACAAAAGGGGTTGACATCTTTTTTTTTAATGAAGCGCATGGCGCTATTGCGGTAGTCTTCTAAGATAGGTTTTCCAGCTGTCTTTAAGGACTTTTTACACACCTTTGGGAGAGAAACATGAGATAGCTTGAAAAGTAAAGGAAAATAACCATCAAAGAGCTTTAGAGAAGGGGTTTTCAAGGCTC